ACGTAGGTCAAAGGATCGTAATTTTAGAGCAAGTTGAAGTTATTTTGGAATTTTCTTGAAAATGGCGAATTTGGAGGGCAATTTTCTCAAATTTGGTCAGTGATAGGGTATATAATTTTGTATATGGCTGGAAAGGGCATATCTTCAAGTATCTAAATCCAAAAAAGGGTACGGGTTTGCCAAGCCATTATGGAGATACGGCCACAGAGAGAAAGCCAATTCCCAGAACTTTAGAGGGCGCTATTTATGTTGTGCAAAGTCATTGGAGCGTGAAATTTGGCATGGCTATGTGCAATTATGAGATAAGGATACTGTGAAATTTAAATACAAAACGGAATTTATATGAGAAAGTTATGGCAGTTTTAGATTATTTAGGTGTCAATTTTTCAAGAATTTGAGAGATAGTTGACGGAGTCGGTTTCAGATTTGAATTTTGAGTATGAAGATGGCATTTTGAAGGGCAGGTTATACGTCGCAGATAAAAGAACATCTCTTAGACTATCTAGAGGAATTTGTTAGAAATGTGTAGGATCTAGGATAGTGGAGATAGGAAGGAAGAAAGAAAGGCCTTAAAATGGACCAGAAACGGACAAAATGGCGCCTGGACGGTTATGCATGAGTGATTTCGAAAATCGAAGAATGTAGTGACCTTGAAGGGATGTTAGAGACTATGCCTATGAAATGTGAAAGGAAAAGGACATGAGAAAAGCACCTAACTAGGAATAACAAACATTACGTGCAAAACGAATGCGATTTCCTGACGATAAGGAAAAGGAAAAGGAGGAAAAGGAGAATATTAATGGGGCAGAATGTGAACGAAAACAAGGCAATGACGAAGGTCGTCATTGCAATAAAAAGAAGAAGGAGAAGAAGAAAAAGAGGATGAGGAGGAGGAGGAGGAGGAAGAAGAGGAAAATAATGATGAATATGTTGAATTTCTATAACAAACAATAACATAAGTATATACAAATTTAAAAAGTATGAACCGGCAGAATTTTTGTTTTAATGTATTCAGGCTATATCAATTATACAACATGTCATTCGCTTTCCTCCGCTGACTCTCAAGTGTTAGGTATTCCTTTAATTTCCTCTTAACAGGAGCAAAGTTTTCTCTTTCCTTTATATCATTAGGAAAGGAATTCCAATGTTGGCGATTTATTTAGTGAGTATTACATACCCTGGTATTAGTATATGCTTCAAGAATGTTGTAGTTAGGCTGTATACGTCACAGTGTTGCCTTATTTGTGTATTACTGGTGACAACTTTAATACATTATTTGTCTATTTCAATCGGATATTGCTCAAGCTCTCACTAATTTGTTTCGCTGATGTTTTGGCTTTTTATTAATACCAGCTCATTATCAGGGTGGACCGCTTTGATAATCTATCTTCCTGATGTTCTGACTTTTTAGCGCTGAGACATTTTGCTCTATTTCGTGAACAAAATAAAATACACACGGTTAGAGTTTTCAGTTAGGGTTGCAGTAAGGTTTAATATTATTTACGGTAAGGGTTAGTGGCCAAAAAAGATTCTTACCTGATTGGAATAGTATCTGAAGTACGGTGACCAAACGAAAAGAACGTCATTGTTGCACATACAAAACAAAAGTGAAATATAGTTAGATTCGATTCTTCTGCATAACCACAAACGATTCAATGAAAAAATGTACGAATAGATATTTGAAAACATAATTTTGAATATGTTTTTTTTAACAATGTCCTCTTTCCGTAATTGGCATTAATGTATGTTAGAAAAAAATTAAATTTTCGCACTCTATGGTTTCTTCTATATATTACTATTAATACTATCATTATTTCTGTTATTTTTATTATTAATATCATCATTATGAATATGTAAATATCATTATTCATTGTCATTGTTGGTGTTAATTTGTGTTGTTCTTATCATTACCATTATAATCGTTATTTTTATATATTTTTCCTCTTTGTTTCATTGTCTTGTTTAAAGTTGACTTTTTTTCTTCTGCTTTTGAAATACCTTGCAGTAATTTAAAAGAATGTAAAATCTTTCACAAAGGTTCATCTTAAGTGAGATAGAGATGGCGCATTTTTATCCATTGCTCCTTCTTTGTGGAACTTCTTTCCATCCTTTCTTCATGTCGCAGAAGTGTAATAAAATTATTTTGTATAGGAAAATTCGCCTTTTAATGTTGTTATACAGAAACATTTTGCGCCACACTTCACAATGATCATCATTGGCGTCAAACTGTGTTCCCCCCATAGCAACAATAGAGGCATGTATAACTTAATCAAAAGATTAGTAAAGATCTACACACAGCTGAGTTATTAATAGTTTGAGTCATCAGGCATTATGTTTAGTATGCTTAAGAGGGTCAAGGTTCTGCTGATGAATCTAAATAAGTAACAATATAACCTGTAATTTTCGTCTTCTGTGCCTCTGTTTCTTCAGAATTCAGGAGAGAAAGAAGCACTTCCTTCACATTTTGATTTGGTAGTTGGCTTTGTTTCCATGTTATCAACATTTCGAAGATGGCCCCTTGTCTATCTTTGAGATTCTTATACTCTATTGCATCAAGTTGTTGTATTTGGAAACCAAGTGCAACTCCCAGGTCATAAAAGTCGTCTATCGAAAGCTTTTCGGCGATTTTCTGGACATCTACATCAGGGAGATCATTTCGAGAAGTTCCTTCGATTTCTCTGTAAGACAAATACGTGTGACTGTTTCTTCATCTTAGAAACGATGCATTTCCTAGATGGTTAGGCCTAATGCGATGTTAATACTCTTTCAAATTCCATTTTAATTTGCAAGGATATGAATACCTTGTATTTCAGCCTTTACGCTGTGCCTCACTTAATATCTATAACAAAATTGTAGTTGAACTACTAAAAAATTAAAACATAGATCTGTTTTAATCAGCCCGAGTTGGCCAAATAACCCGCTATTTCTGATTTGGCAAGTGAAGACGCAAATAGCGGGCCAATTGCACTGGAAATCTTCCCTAGATATTTTGGGCTAGTTTGCAAAATAGCCCGCTATTCGTTGTCTGTCTTCACCCGCCCGAAGACTCGCACTATGCGCGAACACTATGAGCAAATTTTTCGAGCAAATTTCTCGAGCTCGAGTTTCGAGTTGATAAAATCGCGATTTGTAACTTCGGGCTATTTTCCCGGATCACAAAATAGCGGGCTATTTGTCCAACTCTGGCTGATGAGAACAGACCCAATAGATTTATAATGACATGCTTACCGGATAACTGGAGTAAATTCAGGAAGCTTGATTTCATCTGCAACCATATATACGATGAAAGAAAATTTTAAAAGAAAATGTAAAAGCATTAAAACTTTACAAACACACACACACACACTCACACACACACACAAAAAAAAAAAAGAATTATGAAAAAGAGAGTTATTGTCCCAAGTAAATATCCAGGGAAAAACGATTCCAATGATTGAAAAATATAAATATCACTGAATATGTAATGTCTACCAATTAACTGTTAACAGTAGAGGGGTTATGAAATTACCCTGCGACCTGTATTTGACGGAGTGCTGAGACAAGCCGGTACTCTTTGCTTGTCCCTCTCACAGGTGAGTTGACCAAACTTAGTAAATATTAATATTGTTAGGCTAGATATCTGTTATGTTCATAATGTGTATTGTGTCAGAACGATTTCAATGATTAGTTTGATGTATCATGTGGGTTGATATGATTATATTGGAAGCGAGGATTTAATGTTAAAATGTGTGCTGCTTAACGTTATGATTTTGTTATATGCATTTATATTGAAGTACATGGTCATGTGCACTAATACGTTGAACGCGCGGTACCAAAAATTGAGTGTAGTGCGTCCGCGCTACTGTTGTACCTGGTCGCAGGGCCAGGGCCAGGGGCAGGGTCACGCTCTAATGTATGTGATGAGTATCAGTATAGGTCTTTGTTCAGTAACGAGGACAGTGAGAAATATAGGGAGCATAGAAAAGAAGTGCTTATGATAGAAGTGAGTGTTTAAAAGCATTGCATGTTGTTTGTATTTTGGTTGCTAAAAGGGGATATTAATTATGGCACATCTGATCAAACAGTGATGATCGAACTTTGTGTGACTATTTAACCATTAGACATTAGAGGGTTTTTAGCGCCCTCTGTCATTGTAAACCTTATTTCTCATTTTGCAGATTGCTATTAAAGAATATTGTTACATGTTAAATTTATATAAGAGCCGTGTTTAGGGTTAGACCAGGAGATTATTGGAGTTTGGTCGGAAGTAAGAAAAAGTTTGAAAGATAAATATTTGGATTGGAGTGGTTGATGAAAGTTGTATTTGATGCAGATATAAAGAGATTTATAATTTACAGAATTTATCAATGTTTCTAGTCTTTTGGTATTTAAGAGCAGAGATATTTTGTCTTGTTCCATTGTTATGATATTGTTAGTTTCACTATTCTTTTTATGATATGTGCTTACTTTGAGAAGGGGGAACCAGGATAGCCCTATTTAAGTTTATTTTATCAGGATATTTGCATTGTATTAATAATACAATGTACAAGTTAAAGGTATAGTTAATTGAACAAGAATTAAGTATACAGTAGGTTTGCGGGTACACCATGTGTGAGAGAGTGAGAGAGAGAGAGGGTTGAGGAGTGGTAGTCCTGAAATGAACTGTTTGTTATTAAGTAAGTATTAAGAATTAAGTAGTGATATAGAGGTCACATGATAAGGTTATTAAACCTAGCTTGGTGTGTTGATTTAACAAAATTTGTGAGAGTGTTGCTTTATATGAGTTTTATATTGACTGTACTTATTTGTTTAAGTATTTGGGTCAGGTTATTACCTTTGTGAATGTTGAGCGTTCGAGCTACTGTGGCAATCGGTTTTTAGAAGGCAAATTTACTCGTTTTATATTTGATAAAATGACATGTTTTGGGGAATGCATGACCTCCATGATTATATGATTATCACCTTTATTATGTGTCAGTTATGACATAACTATTGTGTGATGTGTCCATTACTGGTTACTACTAATAAAGAGACTCTTTGCTTGTCCCTCTCACATGATCTGTCTGTCTGTCATTCATCTCGAGATCTCGACCACCTCACATAAGTTAAGAATTTTGAATAGTTTTCGAATAGGCTTTAAATACACATATATATCTTTATACAAACTGATGATTACATTATTGTCCCGAGTAATGCCCTCTGTTCAGTCAAGTTTTAATTATGAAAAAAACAGCCAGAGCTAAGAATATTGAGGAAAAATAACACGGACGAAAATAACGTACATCATCATGTTTAATCAAAGCTTTTCAAAAAAGGGAAAATATTAAACAGTAGTTCATTTCTCTGTCGTGAAATACTGGGATAGATTAAAGATAAACTTTAGTACTGGTAATGCGATTGCATTGTGAAAGAAAAGGTGTGAAAGGATCAGAAACAGTTGATCATGGAGCATGTAAGTATTGGTGTGCACTGCAATGTTCTGGAGTCATCAAAATCATAATAAATTTGACCGAGTCTTGGTAAAGTAACAAACACTCACATAGAAAGCTATATATGGGACAACACACATGGTGTCGGGGATGGTACTACCTTGGTTTCCATGTCTTTCTATGCTCATTACTCAGCCAGTATACATTTTCTTCCAAAATTGTTTGGCACATGTCATTTATTTGTAATCTTGAACATTCAGTGTAAGTTTCGTTTGATTTTGTGAGAATTAATTTCTTTTTTTTTTACCAGTACTGGAGTTTATCTTTAAAGATGGTAGACAAACCTTCATATATAATGACGAATGACATTGATCGAGACACCTCTAGTTTCCCAGACTGTGTAAGTGTGATGGTTATTACGTTGAATGCAGTATCTTCCTCTCTCGGGGGCACTTTTAAGACTACTTTATGTCTCATTCGGTTGTGAATTTCCTTTAGAGAGAGCAGCTAAAGGACGAGAAATTAGATTATTAAGAAACAAACAACTTTTTTCTGGAAAGAAACCCCGAGAATAACAAAAAAGGGGTTCTGTTTCCATGTTTGCGATTTTATGTCATTTATTTTCTTCATACTTTTAATCCTTTGGTCCTAAGAAAGCGGCTTTTACTAAATAATCCGTCTCTATGTTAGAACGTTAAATGGAGGCCCCATGTAGAGGAGAGTGTAACCACCTTTGCGATAAGAACCCACTGCACTATTCGTATAAGAGTAGGGGAAAACCCCGGTGAAGTGGTCCACCTGCACACAGAGGCGTCGCTAGACCTTTTTCAGTTGGGGGGGGGGGGGGGTGTAGAGGCCAACGATTACAAATTTAACCCTATAAACCTGGGGCCGAAGGATAAATTGTTTTTCCTATGGACTATCTATAGTAATTGCATATGCGCAAAATGGTCATTTTCCTCGACGACATAAATATACGAATTATTTCTCCAATTTAGTCAGCATCATAGCTATATATTTTAATGCAGGCGCGGAGCTAGGATCTTATTTTAGGGAGGGGCGGTAGTGAGCAAGAGAATCACTTAAAAGCGCGCTCATTAGGGGGTGTGGGTGATGGGCCTCCCGCGCGAAGCGCGGAAGCTAAGACGTTTCCTTAAATTATTAGGAAAACAAGATGATTAATTGTACCGTTTTCGACTGCTTATCCTTATCTGAATATTCCCCCTCCTGCGCGAAGCGCGGAAGTTTTGACGTTTCATTAAATTTTGAGAAAAATCAGACGATTCGGTGTACTGTTCTCGACTCTTAATCCTTATCTGAATGAAGCTTCCCCCTCCCGCGCGAAGCGCGGAAGTTTTTACGTTTCATTAAATTATTAGAGAAAGAAGACGATTCGTCGTACCGTTTTCGACTCTTAATAAGCCCTATTCATCTGAATTCAGTTTCCCCCTTTCGCGCGAAGCGCGAACATTTTGACGTTTCCTCATATTATTAGAGAAAGAACACGATTCGTTGTACCGTTCTCGACTCGTCTAAATGAAGTTCCCTTCCGCGCGAAGTGCGGAATTTTTGGCGTTTCATCACAATATAGAGAAAGGAAGACGATTCATCGTACCGTTTTCGACTCTTTTCTTTCCTTTCTTTTGCTCTCTGTTCCTTTCTTTTCCTTTCTTTCCTTTCTTTTCCTTTCTTTCTTTTCTTTTCTTTCTTTTCTTTCCCTTTCCCTCACTTTTTTTCCTTCCCCCTTTTCTCTTTTTCCCGGCGGCAGCGCAATTTTACCGACAATATCCTGAGAGGTGGGGGAGTGTCGCACCCCGCACCCCCCCTCTCTTTGGTGACGCCACTGCCTGCACACCCCCAATCAGTCATAACGGGAGGAGAGACCCGAGGGTTACAGTGATTCAGTTCGCTTTTCGCCTCCTCCCAGGCACAGATGACGCCAAATACTTATTAATAATAATAAACAGAGGGGCTATAGCGCGGCGCGGCTCGGCGCGCTGGCCGAAATTGGCCATCATTTTGTGTATGGCATTTTTCAATTGTGTTGTTATACATGTCCTACTCGGAATTATTTTCTGGAATTAAGGGTATCAGATATTAAGTAAAGATTTACAGCATTATAAGGAAAGAAAGATGTCTAAAAAATGCGAGGAAAAAAAAGGTAATTGGAACCTCTCCAACACAACTGAGTTGTTATTTTTCGTATGTTATTGAAACAAACATGTTTAAAACATTGTAGACTTACCTGAATTTCCCCCTGGACAATTCCCTCCGGACAATTGGCCCCGAGAAAAAAAATTCCGGGCAACCTCTGCTGACATTTACACACAGGACAACAACCATCCTGGACCTGGACAATTCACCCCAGGACAATTACCCCCTTGGACAATTAACCCTAGAAATGTGAACTAGAAATACAGGCTTATATGGAAATAATAATACCTCTTTCACCGAAACTCCCCCTTGCACCCCCTAGATAATTTCGTTTTGAAAATATTACCCCCTGCTCGTTTTGAGATAATGAGGTGATCTCTTTGTATCTTTTTTACATATCTCCCGGGTCAAATATTGTTCTTTTTGATGACGAAATTTCTTTTGATAAGTCTAATAATTTAATTGGTTACTTCGCTCGCTTGCACAATTTCGGTAACTCGGTATAGTTGATAATGAAAAGACCTCAGCCACGAACACTTATTTGTCTTGAGGCTTTTTTTAGGGTAATTTCCTTGGGAGGTAAGTGGCCAGGGGTAGATGCCTAGAAGGGGGGGGGGGGGGGGGGGGCTCAGTTTTCCGGAAGGGGCTGTAGTCTTATTATGTGTTAATAACATCCGACAAGAATTAATTATTAATTTGAAAATAATGAGCCTGGGAGAATGTTAATGGTTTCTAAAATGTGTGGGTTGTGTTTAAATCAACGAATCTTCATTTTTTTTTTTTTATAGTATTAGACTATATATTCTTTCATTATTATCCTTTAACTGTATACTTGAGTTTCTGAATGGCTGAAATGTGGAAAAATCTCTCCGGGGGTAGGGGGAAGGGGACCTGTTTATTTCCCTTCTGAAACAAAACACTTGGAGACACCATACACAACAATGAGTGGCTTATTTCAGCCAGTGCGCCGAGCCGTGCATACTGCGCCGAAACCCTACTGTTGAACAAAAGCATAGAAGGCCGTGTAAACAAATTGGAGGTTGTTGTTTTAGCTACCTGTATACAAAATACATTTGAGGTTATCTTTCTACTTTAACTGGATCTTAAAGTAACACTAAACCAACCATATGGGCGTCAATCCTTACGTAATACCTATCGTTCAGGGGGGATGAATGAATAGATCATCCCCCCTGAACAATAGATATCAATTACAGATCTACGCCCATGAAACCAACCCTATCCTTTACCGTAACTTACTGCAACCCTTACTCAAAACTCTTACCGTTTTTTGTTATCACGAAATAAAACATCAATCAGGGAGATTAACACAGGAGAAGTTGACCCTGATAATTAGCTGGTGTCAATAGAGGCCACAAATTAGAGAAACACCAATTTTAGAGACAGTTTGAGTGATATCCGATTAACAATAGGAAAGTTATGAACTTTTTAAGTAATGTCATCAGTGACACACAAATTGGCAATACTTCGAGGTTCTCTCCAATTTGCTCTGTACAGAAAATTTCATTAACATTCATTTTCTTAGTTATTGATAACGGACTAGATTTTGTCTATACATTTTTTTTATAGAAACATATTTGCAATAATTGTATTTAGGGTACACATATAACAATTTTATGTAAGGATTTTTTTTTTAATACAGAGTGAATGAGAAGGTATCTCGCAAGATACGTTACATAGTTGCCCAGTTGTGTACGATTGATCGTAAATTCAAATATTCATAACTTTCTTCATTTCAATTGGATTTTGCTCCACTTTCAATGACCTATTCTTTTCATTTTTTTGCTTCCATTAAATCCAACTTTATATCAGGGTGGACTTCCTCTTTAAGGACAAAACTGATTTTCGTACCTTAGTTTCTGCCATCTTCCCCTCACAATCACGTTCCACTCTAACGTCACCTGAATCAGAGATGATGCTAAATGGGACCGATCGATGGGCCTTGCGGTACGACTGATGCTTCTCATCAAGGAGAACTTCCTATTTTCAAAGCAAGAAGGACAATTAATTAAGTAAAACATAGGCCTAATGAAGCAGAATGTTTTTCGGGTTTTCATGGAAAGTTGTCTCGACACTATTGGGATGTACCCGGTGTTCACTAATCAACACTATCTTCACGGTCACTATCAAGATTCCATTTAATGTAATTTCCATGGAATTCATAAACATCGATAGGGGAAAATTGGGAGTTAACCCGACTTTTCTCAGATAGCATTTCGGAAAAACACATAGACCGCGGATGGATGATTCTTGAGAATATCAGAATGTCATTCCGTACTTTATCTTGGTAGTGTACTATCGGATAAAATTCAGCTTGTTACCAGCATTGTATAGGCTTTGGCATACAAGCCATGCTCGGAGAAAGTTTTAATGAAATTATGTCTAAAAGCATTTTTTAACGGCGTACAGTTTAATCAAACTTCTAGAAAATCTCTTCAAGTCTGGTATAAGCAAGCTGTGAGGCCTTGCACATAATAATCTCATAAAGTCGGATCTTAACGACAGCCCTATAGTCCTACGGAAATTTGAAGAAGCTGACAGTTTTAAGAGGACTGTAAATTAATAATTTACTAATATAAAACGCTATCAGTACTAACCGCATCTATGCCAGGAACATCGGCATGCACTTGAAGATGAACTTCAATCTCTTTGCCTCTTTCTACGTTTTTTGGGATGTATGAAGTACACATAAGTTGTTGTCGGATCACCTGCTGTTCAAGAGGAATAAGAACCCACCAGTCAGCACCGTGACCAATGTACAGCTCAAGGTGTCCCTTGTACATTCTGCAATATGGTGGTTCGTCTGGTGAGCTGGATGATCGCATTCTTGATGTTCTTGGTAGATCTATTACCAGTGGGTAAAAAAAACAAAATGCGTTTTTAGGTGTGCAATTCCGCAATGGAGCCAATTTGTCCTTTAAACTGTTGCACCTTTATATGGTGACACCGAGTATTTCTATTTTTCTTTTAGTGGTGGTGTCCTTGTGGAGAAAATCACTTCAAATGATCTTAAGTTTAATAAGCCATCTTATGCCTAGGTCACAAATACATCGGAAACCCGTACGATGTTACCTACCCAGATGCTTGCCGTTGATTTTAGAGAACGTACGGGACCCTTCCGGTTTTCATTTCTACGGCATGTGTGGTCACATATTCTGCGGCGCCCGTTGAAAATAGGTCGAGTGAAATTGCAAGCGCCCGTAAGGGTGCCGTGCGATACACTGAACTATGATTTAGTCTACGAAAAACATCCAGTAAGTCAAAGTCCATCTATATCAATGAAAGCTTGACACAACATCGTAACAAACTCTACTGGAAAGTTAAAAGAGGTCTGGAAAGTAAAAATTACAAACTCTGGACACACGGTGGCAAAATCATTGTCAAGAAACTAAAAGGCGAAAGGGTGACTATTGTCAGAAAAAACTAAACTGATCACTCAAACGAACTACAAATTGCCCATATAAGAGGTAAACCGTGGCTCTCGTTGAAAAGCTGTGTCCTTTGTTGAAATCTTATTTTGATTTAATGCATGTTCATTTAGTTCTCTGTGATTTTTGGCTTACAACGTTTCTTTTCGTTATTCATTTTTTGTTCCGTTTTCTATTCCATGTGACTTATTAACATGCCAATTAAGTATGCGTGTGTATGTTGCAAGAAACCAGTAAAATACAATCAGAAAGCTCTTCTCTGTACAAACTGTAAAAATTGGGCCCATATTACGTGTGCCCGTGTACCTCAATCTCTATACAATGATAGAAAAGAACATTTTGAAAATTGGAGTTGTCCAACTTGTACCCTTCAAGAATTGCCCTTTTTATGAAGAGTTAGACGTAGATCGTGAACCCTGCGCCGGTAATGAGCCAAACTTAGATCGTGACACGAATCTTATTAAGAATGTACATCAAAATTATAGCATTTATGATAAAGGATTGTCAATATCCTATCTTAAAGTTAGAAGTTTACGAAATAAAAAATAAGAAATTGAAATTTGTATAAGTAACAATTCAGTTTATTTATTTCCAATGTCTGACCTTCTACCCGTTTGATTTGATGTCTATTTTTGTTAAGGCATGTGTATCCGTATTTGTATTTTTGTTGTTGGGCATTTCACTTTGTATCAATAATATCTTAATTGTTTAATATTTTAGGCCTGATGTTCATTCCGATCTAGTTTTTAATTTTTTTTTTTTATTTATTTGATATAATAAACTCGATCTCTTATGGTATGCTGTTTATACACTGTCGCTCATATAGTTGGAATATTTTTGTTTTACCCCAACTTATGGAATTATTTAAAAAATGTTTTATTCCTAATAGATCTAGATATTAGTATGCATTCTCAGATTTTGTTGAATAATAAATTGCCAGTTTTTTTTGCGTGAATGCTAAAGCATGTGTAGATTCAAGATTCAAGATTCAAATAAGGTTTTATTCACAACTCGTCAACAAGTCCAACTACTAAGTTTACATCAGACATACAATCATATAAAAAAAAAAACATAAAAAAAACATATAATTATATATTTAAAGAAAACATAGCAAATGGGAGAAGAAAAAAAAAATATACATAAAATTGAATAAATGTTTACATCAAAACATCAAAGGCGGTATAAAAAAAATTGAATTACACGATATCAAATATTGCTAGCGAAATTGTGTAAATGTTTAAATCAAAATAAATAAAATAAAATTTGTACAGATACGGGAATTCAATTAACTGTAACGTAGGACAAATTGTGATAAAGTGCAATACAAATTTCATTTAGATGGTGTAATAAATATTAAAAAGTATTAAAAAGTATTAAAATGGTATTGGCAGTGTGGTAATTAAAAGTGTGACACGAGTAAAGTACATGTATAGCATATTGCACATGAACAAAATTTGGAAATCCTTAGATATTATTAATGGTGACAGTAACAATGGCAGAAAAAGAGGTGGAGAGGAGGAGGGATAGATAGAAAATGAGAGAGAGAGAAACAGAAAAGAGGAAGGAGAGACGACGGGAGAAAGAGAAAGAGGAAGAGAGAGCAGAGCACAGAGAGAGAGACAGACAGATGAGAGAAAGGGTATGGGAGTGAAATAGAAATAGAAAGGAAAGACCAGAACTGAAGAAGTGAAAAGGACATATGAAAAGTAACAAGTTCAAATAGAGAAAAGGGAAGAGAGAGTGAGAGGAAGGATAAAAGTACATGCAATATCAAAATATGAATAAATGTGAGAACCTGCTGTCATCAATCATCATGGCAGTTGATATTGCACATGATTATATTGCTGACATACATGATATATAACATACTGATAATTACTTAAGCACCTGTTTATTATTATTCAAGGATCGAGTGAAAGATGGGATGGGAGAATTTCGGTACCTCGAAGTTCTCATCTTAGGCAAGGACAAATCAAGTGCATTTCGCAGGGTACGGCTACAGTCGTTGACTCTGCTCTCAGGCAGGAGATGTCGATGAACCTTAGAATGGAGGAGTGATTCTGCAAATCTTAAAGAAAGGGATGTGCGTCTCTCTTTAAGAGAGGAGACGCCAAGATGAGATTGCAGTTCATCATAAGTTCAAGAGTCAGGGTAGGGAATTTCCCTGAGAGCTCTCCTCTGAACTCGCTCGATGCTAACAAAGTGATTGTTTGTGATCCCTGATGTCCAAACAGTGCTGCAAATTCTAGTACTGGCCTGATGTACATGTAGATAGTAGCAAGATCCTTGGTGGTAACACCATTCCTCCGAAGCTTAGTCAGGAGATAAAGTCTTCTGGAAGCGTCAGAGATCAAACGGCTGACCTGCCCATCCCATTTGAGATCATCCTGAAGGAAGACCCCTAGGAGCTTAAGGGATGAGACAGTTTCCAGTGTGGTAGAGTTGATGTCAAGAACAATGGGTGGCGGGGGTTGGCGAAGAAATGAAATCTGCATACCTTTACACTTAGCAGCATTCGGGACAACGTCATTGTCTTTGCACCATTGGGTCAAGGAGTCTATATGCGACTGCAACTCAGATGGATGCGATTTCTTCAAGACCTCTACGATTGTCAAGTCATCCACAACCGATTTCCATCGGTTATCACTTTCAACAGCCGCATCGTTGATAAGGACCAGAAACAGGACCGGTCCGAGGCGAGTACCTTGGGGTACCCCACAGGTGATGGCTTGTTCTTGAGATGATTTCCCATGGTAGCGGACAGTCTGCGCTCTGTTAGAAAGGAAGCTGCAGATAGTAGGGATGATAGAGTGATCAACACCTAACTCAATCAACTTGTTCATAACAATGGTGTGGTTGACATGGTCAAAAGCCTTAGAAAAATCCACGACGCAAGGGTTAGCGAGAGTGCCACCCTTGTCAAGCTCTCTGTGGATGGTGTCAAGCAGGCTGACCAAGTAGTGCGTAACTGACGATCCACGAAAATTACCAAACTGGTGGTGGTCAACAAACGGGTGGATGCTGCTCATGATTCAGTCCGCGAGGAAACCTTCAAAGATACGCGCTAACGTGGGCGTTATGGAGATTCACCGGAGCTGATCATAGCTGGTAACAGGATTAGTTTTGGGAATAGCACTGATAGATGCATGTTTCCATATGTCAGGGAAGCAACCCTGACTGAGGCAAAGATTGAATAGAGTGGTCAAAGGTTCAGAAAGTTCATAAGCGAACTCCTTCAACAGTCGCGAAGGGGGGTCATTGGGATGACAGGCCTTGGCAGTGCTGATTCCACAGAGGCGCTTATAAACCCTCTGACGGTCTATCACAGGAGGGGGTGAGGGTGCTGGTAGAAAAGCCGACAGAGCACACCTGTCTAGTGGTGGTAATGAAGAGCGGATGGCAGCGAAGTGCGTATTTAGCTCATTAGCAGTGTCAATATATGATCTACCGTCAGATGAAAGATTAGTCTGCTTCTTGCGGATGCCAGCGGATTTGCTGGTGCCACTTTCCAGGCTCCGATTTCTTAAGGTGTTCAACTTTGCGCTGGTAGAATGAGTCCTTTGCATTATCGATCAACCTTTGCACATGGTTCCTCAACCGTTTAAAGTCTGGATGCCCATGTCGAAAGCTAGAATCGCGGCGATTGATTGCTCTGCGAATCTCATCACTCATCCATGGCTCATCATATAGCCTTCGTTTGACAGTGACCAGTTCAAAGTGTTGTCTGAACTTGGTGTTGATTAAGTTATTGAACTCTGAAGCCATGTCATTAGCATCAAAGTCCCCAAGAATAGACCAGTCCATCTGCTGTACCCATTGCCCGAAAGCTCGGACAGAGGAGTCACGAAAGGGGCGATAGGATGTTTTGGTAGATTTCCTGGGAGGCGGCAGGAGACAAGGCAGGACGGTAACAACATTGTGATCGCTAGAAGCAATTGGCGACGAAATCTGAGGAACACTGTAGTCCTCATTAAGGTCAGTCAGAATTTTGTCCAGGATAGCCGACTTACGAGTACGATCCTTTACTATCTGAGACATCGAGGTATGTATTTCAATCTCATCAGTTTCTAGGTCATTGAAATCTCCCATGATAATTAATGAAGCGTTGGTGGAATGAAGACGAGCACGGTCAACGATATTGATAATGTGCTCAATCATTTCAGCTCGATGCGGAGACCGCGGGGGAGAGTAAATCACCCCAACATAGATGTCCTTTGGGAGATGCACTGCAGCAGAGGATCTCAGGCGGACCCAGAGGGCTTCAAGATGTGGGGGGACCGTGTCGTTGAAGACCTTCGTAGGGTTCATATCATCTCGCACGTAGAGTGCAACACCCCCTCCCTTCTGTTCTTTACGGTCCTTGTGGAAAAGATGATACAACGGCAACTGGCATGCTGA